GCTCGAACACGCTGGTGGGATTGATGCACTAGGGTTTAGAACCCCGTCCGGGTAAGAGTTCCGATGTGAACTACCCAGATAAGCGTCATCGACCTTTGAGAGGTACCATTCGTCGTGTATGAAAATCCAAATCAATTGGGGCCATGAACGAACAAAAGTGGTTGGGTCCCCTCCCCGTTTTAACGGACCCTGCGCTCCACTGCTTCTTGTCTAACACCTTGAGAAGGAAACTCGCATGTGGACCCAGCTGGCTTGGCACGGGCTGCCTGTTCAAGCATCAACGGTGAAATACTCAGAATGGGTATGTGCAGCCAGGCTTCCATTGCAAGCCCATTCCCTTTGGCTGGTCCTAGTATGAGGATATAGCAGAAAGCGGGAACGTGCCCAGCCAAAGGTTCTCTGAGCACCCATGCATTGCGGTACCAAGACGAGGAAAAAAGGGGGTGTGCATGTAAGTCATCTAAAACTTGTTGCTAGTCGTGCAGTAATTTGATTTGGGAGCTGGCCATATCCCCTCGCGCGTATCAGTCTCATACCAGAGGTAGAGCCTTTGGAGGAATTATGGGGGAGGCAAAAGCAACTCTGAGAATGACCTGTGCCCTCCATTGGGACAAGAGAGACATGTGGGAGGAGAAGGGAATCAAAGACACTCAACAAGTCCGGAAATTAATGAGAGGAAGTGCGTTAGACTTAGTGGAAAGGCAAGAGTCCATTGAGTACACTTTCTACTTCTATGGATCGATTGGGTGATTGCATAGCACCTTGTCCTTTGTAGAGTCTGTGGGCCAAGCAAGAGAAGTCTCCAACAACAAATAGTAAGAATGAAAAGAGAGCTCCTTGTTAGTTGCTGTGTGTAATGTAATTAAAGTGAAAATAAACGAGAGCGAGAATGCAATTGGATTTATTGGGTTGCATCGTTCAGAAGGACCGGATGTGAGAGACATCACCCTGTATAATCAGTGATCCAAATCTCATCTAAACACGAAGAGTACCGCTAGAATCCAGCCGGGCAATCAGCATCTCAGATCGTGAAAACCCAGTAACCCGAGGGCTTTTCTCGGAACCTGGGTAGCACGGCGTACACATACGCGGGCTCCGCATACGTGCATACGCGTATGCACGTATGCGCATACGTGTTGCATACGTATGCTCGCATACGCAAATTTAGGGCCCGCGTACGTGGTCACAGCGGGCCGTTTCCCGGGTTTGTCTGGGCCCGGTAGGGGTTGGGGGGTGGGCGTTGGGATTGGTTGGGGGGGGTGTGTGTGTGTGTGTGTGTGTGTGTGTGTG